GACTGTATTTCTCAACTCATCTGGATCAGGAACAGAATCTGACCGCTTATTGTGTTTCACTTGAAAAGCTTAAAAAAAAAAACCCTCTCAGTTCTCGGCCAACTTCAATCAAAGTCCAATATTTAACGCTTAACTTCCTTTTCTTGTGCCAAGTGATCAAATGAATGCACCACTTGAGCAATTATTCACTAAACAAACAATGTTTCAAGAGGTTTCTCAGTTTTAGATCAAGCAATAAACCACAAGAGGCATTGATTTACAGTGATTTGACAACAGCTGTGGGGCGTTGTTAGGCTCCATTTCAGGACTTGGATGTGTATAGTACAATGTCAGACATTTTAGGAGTTTTTCAGTGTCTGCAGACATCATGTCGATACAGCCGGTCCTGATATGAAGCTTTAAGCTCCGGGAAGATTATGATATTTGAGAGATTTTGGCTGTCAACCTTCATAAGGCCAGAGTAAACCGTGAAAGATGTATGCAGTTAAAGGGGAACGACGCCTAAATTAAGAATTCCAATATGTTTTTTTTCCATGGCCTTGGGAAGTGCAATCAATATTTGTGAACATGAGCTACTGTACTCTCTCTCTCAAAGCCAGAAACCAGAGAAGTAACTCTCAAACGTATGATGTCAGTTTGTCAGTCGTGAATCAGAAAATGTACTACTGGGTGTCATTTATAACGTATTTCCCAATTTATTTTATTTTTATACTTTATGACATCACAATTTTGAGTTTTATCACTCTAGTTTTGGGATTTGGGAGAGTTCATGTGTACTAATATTTTTGGACTGTGTTAGACCATAGGAATAACGTATCTATTATAAACATAGCTGTGTAGTTCCCTTTTATGGATAGCAGGTGAAAATAAGCAAGAGCAAGGTGGCATTATGTCTGTTACAACCGCCACTTACATATGGATTTGACTTCTTCAAAACAAATCTATGAAATCAATATCAGGGAGTTATACTTCAACAACAACTACAGTACGAACAAACATGCGGATTTCATAGTGTCTCCGATCTCGAAAAATGTAAATCAAACGCCTCTTCTGATCTGTGATTTCTTGCTTTTTTGAGTGTGAGAAACAAAAGTTAACATCTGCGGTGACAATGCTATTGTTAGATGCTGAATGCTCATGATAGAGTGCTAAACTACGCAAAATGTTATAATATCTGCCCCCACAGATGCTTCTGACAAACATTCTGCAGCTAAATACTTTCACATAACGAATCTAATATGGATGATAATCTAACAAAGAACAGTTTCAACTGTGCAACCGCGGCAGCTCCAACAGCCTTTCATCAAACAACCAGTCGATGATTTGCTCTGCACATAATGTCCTTGTTGAAAATCTTTTATGCCATTTTGGCAAGCGGTTCCCGTCCCTATATCACTTTGGAATGTGTGTTCACGTGAGATCGCTCTAGTCAGGAGTCCTCCGTCTCTGCCAGAAACACAGTAACACGAGTAATTTGTTTGTGGAGCTTTTTTTTTTACCTAACAAATTAAAGCTAGAGGAATCTGTGAAGGATTGAGATCAGTGACAATCACAGAAATGATCATAAATCAGCGGGCTTCTGGAGGAAACATTATTCCAGTGTGAAAAGCCTCCGTGATTAATCTCACCGCACATAAATGTGGAAATGATGGGAGCTCACCAAGCCAGAGAATGAGTGAGGTAAGTAAAACTCCTGCAAGCAGGGAACATGTTGGGGAATTAAGACGAATGCAAAAGCACTCCACAGCCTTAAAATATTCAATGTGTTCCCTTCATCCTACAAAAGATGTTTCGGTTGTGCTGAATAAGGGCGTCTCTGTCTGTATTAGCCCCAGCGTGGCCTTCTCATTGTCCCGCCTTGTTCCGCTTCTCTACGTCTTTTTCACGCTGTAAATTTCCTCCTGGAAGCTCCTCGGTCGTGACTGACATGGCCGCGGTCGAGGCTTCAACATACTTGGGAGAGCTCCCGCGATTACTTCCTGTCAGCTGTGATCATTATCATCGCTTGACAGTATAGCTTGATGCCACGGTCTCCTGTCCAATTGAGCTGTGTGGTGGATCTCCGTGCAAACGGCAGTGGAGGGGAACCATGTTATTTAGCTTGCTAAGTCATTTACAAACATGTTGTAGACATTAACATTCATTTATGGGTAGAATATTTGCCTCCTGCTAACAAAAGAGAGGAAAAAAAGAAAAAAACAACACTCTGGGAGACATTACCCTTGTTTATTTTGTGATCACTGAAGATACTTTCCCTTTTACCGCATCGTGCCTCACTGTGCCTCCAGAAACGATGTAGAAATGCTAATCCTCGCAACAATCTGCCTCCATCTCCGCTACCCGTTTTGTTTGACTGCACCCTCATGCAGAATCCAAATAATGGCAATTACAAACAGATCCTCCAATCACGCCGCCTCGGACGTCTATAGCAGGGTTCGCAACAGTCGAGCCGCGGAAGCACAACATATCCGCTCTGCATCTCTCAGAAAAAAGGTTAAAAAAAAATCTGCTCTCCCTGACACATTCCATGCTGGACAATACATCTGAGTTTGCTTCCCTTCCACCACGCAGCCATTTGCTGTGAAAGGGGTGTATGTGTGTGTGGGGGGGGGGGCGTGCAGTATTTCAGGGTTTTTTGAGTTTTGTTTAACCTGGTTTCGGAGAGATGCAGAGAGGATATGGT